GGATCTGTTCCCGTACTGGTTTAACTGGACTGCATGTGGACTGCTTGCCATCTCAGCGCCTTCAAAAGTATCAAGTCCAAGTGCCATTTGCCACTGTAGGGCCCTGCAAGAGCTTCCAGGCAATTCCCAACATGGGAAGCACGAGGCAGAGGGCAGAGCCTGCCCCGGTTGGCACCATCCAGCTGGGTGTCCTGGCACTGAGGGGACATTGGAGCTATGGCTCTGCTCTGTGGAGCCAAACTGTGACAGTCACACAGTGTGACCGAGGCCTGGGAATTTGCTGTGAGACCTTTAAAGGTGGACAAACTGCAACAGGAACAGCCTTTCCTAATGAGCATTTAGGAGATCCTGGTATTCGGGTGCCCTCAGATGTAGGAATAAGGAATAGGAAGAAAGGTTGGCCAAGAATGAAAATGTTGATTACTTGCTGATTGCTTGATGGACTAAAGGATGTTCTGAGGCCAGCTGTTAGATGGTAACAAGAAACACCTGGTGAGATATAAGCAGCATCTGGGAAGGTTGTGGTAAAGGTAAAGAGAGGTGAGGATATAAGGATCATCTGGGTAGACTACTAGAGAGAGATCCTGGATGGAGAAGAGGCAGTGGGGCCTCTGGGCAGTGTTGCCTGCTCCTCTCTGTTTTCCCACACTCGGACCCATCCTGAGGATGTGGAGCTGATGGTGCTTCCCCCAAATCTGTGTTGCGAACAGTGAAGTCAGACACACGTGCACAAGCGGCACCTTTGAGGAGGCTAGAAATCATCAAAATGCTTTGGGAGTGAGAGGCACTTTAGAAGGTCATATTAAAAAGGAGAGGGGGAAGCATCACCTGGGGTTTAGGTAAATGAAGATGCAGCTCTGCTTGCAAATATCCCCTGAGAAATGAACCTAACCATGGAGATGGAGCTTGTGCTGTGACCTCTGTGCTTCTTGCTGGGGCAGAAGCAAGAGGCACCCCAAGGAGCCCTTCTCACACGGGTTCAACGGCCTAAGGCAACTCTAATGTCTTCACATTCGGCCTAGTGAGTCCAAAGTGTCCTGGCAGTTCTGTCATTGATGCAGTTCCCTTTTCCTAAAGCCTGTGGAGCTCTGTCGTGTGAAAGAGAGCCTGGCCCATGCTTGGCAGCACTGGGAATACCTAGCCCATGCGATGGTGTTCTGAGCTGCAGGGCTACTAAGAGAGGCCACTGTGGAACTTTGCCCAGCCAGACCCTCTAGGACTCAGCTGTTCACAGCTGTACAAAAATTTTGATGACTTCTTAATTAGGAAAACATACCATACTGTCAGAATGTATTTCCTGCCTGTATTTTGAATAACGTCTGCTGGCTGCACTAGTTAAAGGCAGAAAAAGTCCGGACGGCTCAGATGCTTTACAAGAGAGAGTTCCTCTTGTGCCAAAGATGCCCCAGAGGAAGCTGGTTTCAGCCTCTCACTTACCTCTGTTAATGTCTCTGGGGCTCGGCCAGGTCTGTAGCTGGGCAAACACGTTGGGTCTCAGGCTGAGATGATCAGTGGTTGGGGATGGCTGATCTTAGGTGTGGGGAGACAAGGGGATGCTCCTCCGCACCCAAGGGGTTGTCTTGGCTGAGCAGTGCCAGTTACATCTGGGTAGGACCAGGCTGGGCTGAACGGGCTCCAGAGCAGCCCGGCTTCCTTCGGGGAGACATCTGGATGAGTTCCTCCACTCACCATGGTGGCCACTGTAGAGCCATGAGAGCAGCATCCATGGCCATGGGCCTTGATGGGGCAAACAACTTTGGCTACAGGCGTCGTGGCCATGAGTGCTGTGCCCTGGCAGTCGGCCAAGGCAGCGGGGTCACATCTTTCCTGCCAGGCAGCTGCGTCCAGGCTGCCCCCAGACACAGGGGTGAGCTGGAGGGTGCAGGGAAGCCAAGTGAAGACGCAGGTAAGGAAGCTTCGTTTCACCAAGAGCTCAGTGTTTATTGGTTTTGCTTGGGTTTCTAACGGTTAGGACAGAGACTAAGCTGGCTCTGCGGTGCGCACAGATACATACACACAAACAGCGCTAGAGACGGCCTTGGGAGAACATCCTCAGGCATCCTGGAAGCAGCGCTCAGCTCTGCAGAGTGTGGCCCTGCCAAATCACCTGCGCTGACCCCACTGTGAACGCACGAGGCTCTGACTGCATCTACGCTACCACGGGAGGGATGAGGTACCCATCTGAGGGCACCCAGCTCCAGCAACGCCTGCATGTGCAGGGGCTCGGCGTGGAGGATTGGAGTGGTCTGCACTCGTGTGGATACCAGTGCTCCCCGCGCGCGTGTTCTGCTGCCAGGACTGAGCTCCCTCCCCACACTCGGCAGGGTCTTCCTTCCATAGCTAACCCAGACCATGGGCAGCCATGGCACCTCTAGGCTGATCAGCGCTGCCTCTAACACTACGGCTGCGAAGCACGACTAAAATGCACTGCCCCCCTTGGACCTGGAGATTTCCTTGCTGCTTTTAACGAAGCGTTGGCGGGGCGGCTGGCATGTCCTCTGTGAGCTGGAAGATGTGTCAGACATTTAGTGCTTGGGTGAGGAGGGATGTGTGCTCATCAGGAGGCCAAAATGTGGTGCGTCCGGGGAGAGGAGAAGAGCCAATGGGCACGAACTGAAACACAGAAGGCTCCACTGGAATAAAGAAAAAGCACTTTTGACTGTGAGGGTGACTGACCACTGGAACAGGTTGCCCGGAGGTTGTGAAGTCTCCATTCCTGGTGGTATTCCTGGGCAATGTGCTCTAGGTGACCCTGCTTGAGCAGGTGGTTGAACTAGATGAGCTCCAAAGGTCCCTTCCCAGGTCCCTTCCAGCTGGGTTCCCATGGAAATCTCATCCCCAGCCCAGTGGTGGGGTGGGCTTCACATCTCCCACCCCTCTGTGCTGGAATAAGACTCATGCTGTGACTGAGAATTCACCCAACCCCCCAAAAGCCAATGAGGTCTAGAGGTCAAGCAGATACTCCAGCATCCCAGGACAGGGAGCATCATCTCACTCTAGCCAGGGGTCCTCCAGCCAGGCTGCTACCCTCCGGGGGCCGGCTGCGCTTGGGCTGTGGAAGAGCTTTGCACTTTTTGTGGCCTGAGGCCGGCCCTGCATCGACCTACTGAAGGGAACAGGCCAGGTCAAATTACAGGACGTTTCTTGAGATTTTTGCCTTCTATTTTTATGCACCACATTTTTTTCCTTGGTGCCGAGTGGAAGCTCGGCCAGCAGGAGGTGCAGGTGAGGAGCTCGCTGCAGAGCCTGACATCTTCAGGGAAGGAATTGCTGATGAGATGAGGACTGCAGCTCTGCGAACACGGCGGGACACTCATTCTCAAGAAACTGCAAATGTACCTGGCCTGGCCTCAACATGGGGAAGGCTTTTTTGCCTTAGCCAATACAGAAATGCAATGCCAAATGTTCACTACTCCCTCCTCCTTGCACGCGGATTCACCCATAAAGATGCCCCTGTCCCATCCCACCAAACTGCTCAGGTCACTCCAGGTCTCCTCCAGGAA